GGGGAGGGGAAAGGCTCCGGCTGGTGTTATTTACCTGGGACTAAACGCAGGCACCGTTTGCTAAAATAGAAGCTGGGCTTAAATTGATTCCTGGTGTCTATATTTCATGTTGAAAATTGGCTTGTAAATCCATGTTTTGATCTATGAGGGCCGTCTCCTTAAGAAAAAGCAAGAGTAAATGTGTAATTTCTCCCTTGACAGCACACGGCGCAGAGGCGATCCTTCTTCCCGCTCCCCTCCGTTTCGGGACAGCTCCACTCGTTCCGATTACCACTCTTTCTTCCTCGCCCCACGCCTTGATGTCTCCATTTCATTACCGCCCGCCCATTTATCAAGCTGTTACCGTAAGGGTGACTTTGCCCACTTGCGTGTGGCAGCGGGGCCCGGCTGACATGGGGAGAGGGTGCCCCGGCAGTGGGGGGGGGGGGGCGCGGCCGGGCCCCCCCCCCCCCCCCCCCGGGGCTGGATGGATGTTGTGGTGGAAGGAAGGCTGCATCATTACTGATGTGTAAATGATAAAGAAGCCTCCACATCCATCTCCCAACTGTAAATCCAGGGAGTGCTTTATAATCAAGCTACAGCGATAATAATGTGAAATTAGGTCTCTCTATCAACGGGAGGAGGCCTTTTAATCACGGCTTAAAGGGTGCAAACGCTGTTTATCATAATTGAACTGTATCCGGGCTAATTGTGGCCATATTTCACTGTCTAGGAGACAGCAGGCTGCCTGCTGACAGTGCCGCGTGCCGGATGGAGGGCCCCACGCGGAGGGGCAGCACTGCCCCGCTGCCAGCGCCTGCCCGCAGGGATGGGGAGGCGCGGGGGGCTTCTCCCCGTGCGCAGCTCCCTGCGGGACTGCCCTGAGCTGCCGAGGACCTTCCCAGCTGATGGCCGGCAGTGGGAGAGGTAATGTCCCCATCAGAGCCATGTGCCTCCTGAGTGTCCCCCACCAGCCCCTCTCATGGCACCTCTTGCCCTCACCGGTGCGCCAGCCCGGGGAAGGGCTCTGGGCACAAGGACAGCCCAGTGAAGAAGAGGTGTCCCCAGCCCCACCAGCTGGCGTGGGGGCAGAGACGAGCCGGTCTCTCTGTGCCTCTGTCCCCTCTGCTGGCTGAGATGGCACCGGTGGCTCTGGATGGCCCTGGAGATGACGGCTGTCCTGCCAGCCAAGCCACAACGCCAGCTCCCACTTGTTCCCACTCAAGCAAGCCCCTCGCTGTCCTCAGGACCCCCTGCTCCATCCATCCCACCCCCCGGCCAGCTGAGCCCCTGGGAAACCAGCACCAGAGCCAGCTTCCAGTGGGACCTAACGGGGAAATGGTGGCTCAAAAGCTGGGGAAACCGAGGCAGGGGGAGTGCAACCGTCTGCGGCCAAAGGACTCCCACCCCACAGCCAGCCCTGACCTGGTCCCCCAAAAAAGTAACAGCAAAGCAAATCCTGGGCACTGAGCTGCGTCAGGCGGGCAGCCTGGATCTGAGAGCATAGCCACGGCCGCTGCCCTTCCCTGCTCCCATGCATCCCGCTGCCCACCTCCCTGCCCACAGCATCGCCCCGGGCCGGTGTGGGCCACCAGGACGTGGCTATCGCTCCATATTGCTGAAAGGGGAACTGCGCGGAGACCTGGGGAGCGGTGAGACCCCACAGCCCCTCCTGTCGCCCCCAAGTTGGTCCCTTGGGGAGACCCTCTGGGACTGTCAGCTGCTTCCTAAACCCCACCAGCCATCATCCCAAAGCCCCGACGTGCTCTCGCGCTGGGTAGCAGCGCTGGGAGCTGCCCTGGGCTCTGCAAAGCCGGTGGGTCGGTGCCACACGCAAGTCCGTGCCGGCAGCACCGTCCTCGCCATCCCAAACGTGCCATGGCCCCCTGGCAGCGGGTGCGCCAAGCAGCTCGTCATAAGTCATTTAGTGAGACTCATTCCAAATCAGCACTAAGGTAAACACGCTTATTATAATTATCCATGTAAAAAAAAATCAACAACAGCAGAACAACTTTCTAATATGCAATTACAGCCATCTATTGATTTTACAATGTAATCCGCTCCGATTGATTTAATAACACAATTATAGGCTGGCTCTCGGGATATTAGAGTGGGAGATTTTCATAAACTCCAAAGCAAAAAACTAAGCGGCTTTTAAAACAACACAGTCAGATGGCTGTTTGGGGAATTATTAGCAATATGAAATCCTCTAAATCTGGCCGTCGTTACCTTGTGAAAGGAATTTCTATTACAAAAATGGCAATTGACAGCCTAAGAGAGCGCGAACGGGATTGCTTTGCGGCTCTTTCAGTGCTTAATCCATCGCAAAGGTGACCACGGGGCAGGGGACGAGCCGGGTCCCAGGTAGCCCTGCCCACCCTGCGCCCCCCCCCCGGACCGGTTCTCCCCAGGGCGGGGGGCACACAGCCACGGCGGGGCTGCCCAGCACCCGGTGGGCACCCACCAGCCCTGTCCCATCAGGGTGACCCTGCCTGGGGCCACGGAGGCTGGCAGGGTGCGGAGCCCCCCACGATCCCAATCCCAGCACACCTGGCTTGCCCCGGTCCCAGACACCTCCTGGGGCCGTCGGGGTGCCCGCCTGTGTCCCCAAGCCTGAGCCGGGGAACGGGGTGAAGGTGGCCCCGCACCAACGGCCGGCACGGCTCTGCGGGTGCTGCACAGGCGCGCACGCACGCGCGCCCCCGCTCTCCTCGCGCTCGCTCCCTCAATGTATTCCCGACTTTATGGGCACATTTTTCTTGTCAAGCTGACAGGGTTGCTAAGTGGATTTCTCCCTGATATGCGGACGGATTATCACATTACTCCAATGTCCTACACAAACATATTACTTTATATTCAATAGCCCTAATGAATATAAACTGCTTTTTCTTTTTTGGGGGTGGGGGGTAATCTATAGATTTTTAATGAGGGCACTATTAACTCCCTCCTCTTTAAAACAGACTTAGGTGCAGCCTCTGAGTAGAAAATCAATGGTGTTATTGTAGGAATATTGTATATTGATATTGTAATAATAAGATGCAATTGATTTAGGGGTGTTGTGCGGTGTGTGTGAAAGGGGTCAGCCTGGGGTTATCCTGCCTCCTGCAAACAGAGCGGCGGCTCTGCCCTGCCTCCCTGCCCCTCACCTTGTCGTACCGCTTCCGAGCATCGCCCCGTGTCCCCCGGCGTCCACCCGGGATGGCCAGGGTCGAGCTTGCCCCAAGGCGCTGGGTCCCGCCTGCCTCCGGGACCATCCTTGGCCAGGCTGCCTGCGCAGTGGGGGTGATGTGCCACCCCAACGTCCCCTCGCCCCGGCTGGCTTAGCCCCGACGGGTTTTAACCTTTAGCATTTCCCAGCGCGACACTGCACCACCTCAACACCCACGTCCCGGCCCTCTCTGCATCTCGCCCTGGTGACAGCCAGGGACAGCAGCACGTGCACACACGCAGGGCGACAAGACCTGTCTTTTAATTAGGGCTGGAGTTTGCCACCATTCGGCATCACCGACTGCCCTTGTCCTCGAGGGGGACAGACGTTCCCACCGCACTCCTCTGCCAGGACGGAGGCAGAACCCCCTCAGCCCGCAGCGCTGGGCTCTCCACCCGGTGTGTGCGCTCCCTCCGGCCGCCGCAAAGCGGTACCCCTGCGAAACCAGGACAAGCTCAAGGATTTCGGCAGCAAGAGGCTGTCACACAGCCCGGGGACGATGCGGCCATGCCGTGGGAATGGGCTGCCAGCATGCTCACTCGAGACGAGCCCCCGGGGGGGCTAAAGGGGCCGGGCACTGCCATGACCGCCGTGCGCTGGGCCGAAACGCTTACGGTGCAAGGAGCGAGCTTTTCAATCCCGGCAGCCGCCCGGGCGGGCTGTGGGTGACTGGGGGAGCGCAGGGCCCCCCTAAATGTGCTCATTTGGAGGCAGCCCCGCCACACCTGTGCTACGGCCGGGAAGACGGATCACCCCCAGCCCGAGCTGAGCAGGTCCATATTTAAACTGTCCCCATGCTTTATGGGCTGTACAAGAACTGATGCTCAGGCGACGAGGGGCCATTTGTCAATGTTCTAATGGCAGATTACTGTTAATGAATAATATCACTGCTGCCTTTGTATAACAGCTCCCTGCAAAGCGGAAACAGGGTCGCCCGGCTACCGTCGCCCTTCGTCTCCCCGCTGCCGGCCCCGGGTGACAGCAGGTGGCCTTGTGACCGGCGGGGGGGGCACAGTCCCCACGCAGC